GGTTTCTAGAAAGTTACAGGAACAGCTATTTTGAATATGCCTCATTTTATCTTCCAGGCTAATAGCTTTATCTCCTACATATTTTTCCCCTTCATGGCAGTGATATTCACATCTAGGAACTATACAAAAATAATCCACTGGTGGTGGAAGACGTAATAGAGGTAGTACAGGCAAAACACAAGTGGTCATAGGTTGATGATTATTTTTGCTCAGTGAGGGCTACACAAGAGTACATTCTATTAATCCTTAATATTTTGTATTAACATTGTATTATTTATGTTTATGTCTGAAATTCACATTATTAAATGTAGAAAATATAAGTGAGCCCCTTTAAAAATAGTCTGAGAGAAATCTTGGAAAGTCAGTACTGATTTGTGACTTTAATGTAAAAACATTAGATGTGATGCTTATGAGAGCAGTGGCCAAGATGATTTCCAATACTACTCAGGCAAACAATTATCAATGATCTCCAACAGTGAGCTAAAATGTATGAGAAGACATCCTGTAAAGTATAAAACACTAAATGAGTGTTTCTCATCCCTGCCCACTTGTAAGAGTCATTTATGGAGTCACTTATTAATATTGCAATGTCCCTTCAACATGAAGATATTCTGACTAACTAGGGCTGAAATGAGTCGGACATCTGTACACTGAAAAAAACTCCACGGGTCTGGGAACCTCACAATAAACAAATTGTTGCTATTATTAAGCAATACAACATTGGATGCTTCAGGCAGGCACTTGCTTTACAGGCTTAAGGAAGAATAAGAGGAAATAGCAAGAAAAGTAGCAAAGAATGGTTCTTGATCATTTGGCTAATTTATTACTGGGACTTAAAATTTAGGAAGATGAAAACAGGGCCACAGCTTGATAAATATTTGGTTTGCTTAGAAGAATGGGGGACTACCATTAATCCTTTAAGGAGAGACTCCGATGAGGAAGAGTAAGAAGATAGGAAGCATGGCTTGCTACTGGCTAGAGATTGTTCACAGCTTGAGAATGCTTTAAAAGTCATACAGATTTAGATCATGAACCCAGCCAAGACCAAACAAAACCTGATACAATTCCCCCAATGCTAAGGCAGAAATCACTCCTGGTACACTCTACCCCCTGTACCCCCCTGGGCTTTCTGAGAGGTAGAATGGATTTGGTTTGGAATTCACATAATCCAGTGATTCCTGGTCATATCAAAATTAAATCATGTCTCGGAGTAGGCGTCAGTATATTTTAGAGATCTCCAGGTGATTCTATTGTGCAGCCAAATCTGGGGACCACAAACATAAACTCTTCTCAAACTTGATGACCCAACATGAAACCACAGCTGCAAAAAAGAGTTCCTCTATCCTCATTAGTCGGGGCTGCCACCTGCTCAGGCCCATCCTTCTCCTGATCTCTCAGTTTAGGTTAAACCACTTCTTTCCACCCCAATCCCACCCAACCTGTATCCCCACCTGCTGGTCTGTCCCCAGTCCACACTTCTCACTTTACTACTTTGACCATGTCATTGCCTTGCTCAGAAATTTCTAATGAACCCCATGCCCACCTGGAGCTTTGTAACCAACATGCAGGTATCACCTGGGGGTTTCTCGAAAGGTACAATTCCAGGTCCTGTCAGAGTCTTCTGAATTAGAATGTGCATTTTAATAAGATCCCCAGAGGACTTGCATAAGCCTTTAAGTTTGAGAAGTACTGCTTTAAAACACTGTTTCCTAAAGTATCTTTTGAAGGACACTCTCAAGGACAGAAAATCTACTGCCTGGATTCAAAGCCACAACTTTCTCTCTCTTTACAGGACATATATCCATTTAAGAAAATATTTATTGAGTGACAAATATGCCCCATACCATGCTGGGTTTAGAGGATGCAACAGTGAAGACGACAGAAGTGGTCACGCATTCGTGGACTTACAACCTAGCAAAGGCAACGTTAATAAAGATAAGTCTAGGAATGTCAGAAAGAGGATGTGCAGGATGTGTGGGATGATCTAGCTAATGAAGTGGATGGGGTAGGGTCTAATGTAGTCCGGGAGATGAGAATAACATTCCCAGGGGAAAGAGTGCTGCACAGCAGGTCCCTGCAGATGCACAGGCCAAGGGCCCAGAAAAGAAGGGCAGCTGAACACAGTGCCAGCCTTACACAGCAGGTGCAAAGGCTTGGAACAAGGATAGAAATGCTTGCCCAGGGCCTACTCCATGCAAGACAGTGCTCCAAGTGCTTTCCTTATATGTAGGTGTGATTATTAACCATATTTGATGGATGAGGAGACTGAGGCACAGAGAGATTAATTAATGTACCCATCATCACAGCACAGTCCTTGGACATCAACCCTGGCCATCTGGTTCCAGTGTCTATGTTCTCAGCCACTGCATTCTATAATGCTTGAGCTGGGAAGAACACGATGCATTCAAGAAGCTGAAAAACAGGCCTTATGTCCAGTTCAAGCAGTGTTTGTCCATGGATCTATGGTCCTTTTTCTTATCATACGAGAGGAGTGCATTACCATTCCGTGGCAGCTTCTTACAACTCAAGTTTTGGGGAGATATTCTATAGTTATTGAGTCAGAATTTCTACCCATGGAGCTGAAAATCTGCATTTTAATAAGGCTTCCAGGTGATTCAGAGGCAATAAAGCTTGAGAAATATAGGTTTAGGGCTATCATTTCCTCCAATAATCTCCTCCCTCTCATAGTCCTCCCCTAACTAACCCATGGTTATTTAATAATATTTTGGTCCCTAGGTATAAATGAGACATGAGGGTAAATAGGATTGAAGTGGAAAGCTGGAAGAAATCTGAAAATTGAATCTTTCCTCCTTCAGGCCCCCTGACTGCCAGGCTGTGAAAAGAATTATCTAGGCTCGAAAAATTGGAGTCAAAAAGAGACCACAGAGACTTAGAACTACTTTCACTACAATGCCAGCCATTTAAATAATGAATTGAATCTCTGGAAATGGGAGTAAAATTTCAAATTGCTGGAAGAGCAATCATTTCACATGCCCTATGATTCCTCCACTCTTAGCCAGTGCTAGGAGAAGACTCTCAAGCAGCCAGGAGAGAGAATTTTCTTGAATGTAGAATACATGACATAGCAGTAGCTGAAGAAATCTCTGGCCACTAGGGCACCCTGGCACAACACAAATAATATGCCTCCTTAAGTGTGGGGGATCTTGACAGCTCCAACACCAATATCTGGCTGCCAATAGGAGACTCTTTCTAATTCAGTCTTTTACGTTCTTATAACCCTTTAACAGAGGAATTATACTAATCTCTCATGAGGAAGCAGCTAAAAGAAATAGCTGAACCTCAATAAAACTCCATCATCATAGATTATTTTATCTTCTTCCACATTTCCAATATTTATCTTTAGGAGCTTGAATGTTTTTCAGGTACATTACCATTACAATTCCAAAATTCAGCCTCCTAGATGCTGCCTTTCAGATGGTTCAGAATAGAGATCATAGCTTTTCTTCCCCACTCTGTCTGAAAACGATGTTCCCCTGGCTACTCAACAAACACTTTCATCCAGTTCCCTTACTTTGGATCTTCATTCAGGAATGTGAGTTTTAAAGAGTTTCTGGAAGAAATAGTTGTTTCCAACCCTCAAAATATCAGATAAATATTCCACTGTATTTTCAAAGCTCTTCCATATTCCATATATTTATTTCTTATTCTATCCATAAGCAAAGTTCATTAGGTGCTATTATACTAATTCTGTGATAAAGGATCATTAAGAAGATAAAATAGCACAGTTATAAAAATTTTACGCAGGTGTCCCAACGTTATAATATAAGACACTCATGATGATAATCTTCAACAGCTGTCACTATCCCTTTGCCAATCACTGAGAGGTGGTTTGAAGTGGCAGTCCAATCTCTGTCAATGTTGGCCCTATTGTCCTGTCACTCCCATGAAGATGTGTGAGTCAAAGAGCATTTGAGGGATCCTAGGTGCACAAGGTAGGGATTTTCGATGTGTCAGTGCTCTCAATCTCTGTGACAGGTTCTCTCTTTGCAGGACTGAATACTTCCTTTTCCCTTCCTCCAGGAGGCTAGTGCAGCAATAGAGTGAGAGCCATGCCCTGCTTGCGAGGATGTGACTGCCAAGAGAAAGCCAGGGATGTGTGGCTGAGACTCAATTTACTCTGGGAACTACCGTTGATATTCTTTGCATCCTTCCTTTTCTTGGATGTGCCTTTTCTTACTGTGGCAACGGTAAGATTTATAGGACTGAGGGTAGGGTGTGAGACTACAGAAAGGGACCAAGTTATTAACTCTAGGTCTTAGGCCAAAACAGAGCTTTGAGACCTGGAGTACTTGTATCTCCACAAGGACTAACTCATCAGGGGACTGCAATAAGCATGGGGAAAATGTATGTTCTAAGAAAGAGGGTCATTTTACCAAAGTGCTCCTGTGTGTTTCTTACGATTTAGGTATTAAGTATCCTGGATCACAGCCTTTGAAATACACCCAGGTGTATCAAGCATCATCATTAAGAGTAAAGAAATACAAATCTCATATTGCCAATTTCTGTACCTGGTCAACACTTTTTAATGTATCTTCCTTCATTCTCCCACAGGCTTATATTTATCAGTGATGCAAGCATAGTGTTTAAGGCACTATATTCTAAGGAAGATACCTGGAGTCAGACTCTCAGCACACAGCAACCACAAAGAAATTGTGATGATGATTATGCTTATAAGGAATGACATGTGAATAGTTGTTCAAAATGCCACAACTCGGTTAATAGAAGATGAGCACTCCTGAAATGCATACCAGTGAAATTATGGCATATAACTGAATATGTTTTCCCTGCCAAGTTTTGATGGATCTGGAAATCCAAGGCTGCATTTACAAATGTTACAAACCTTGTTTCCAGAGTGACAGGAAAATGGAAAAGGAGGGTACTCACATTCCACAATCTCTCACCTATTTAGCAGGGGGGAAAACAATCGGGTAACAACCGAAAGAAGGAAAGAAAGCACTAAAAGAACAGAATCCACCTACCTGGTTGGCACAACCTCGGGCAGGGCGTCCACTCACTGAAAGCAGTCACAATACAGTCTTTTTTGCATGGGAGGAGACAAGGACGTACTGTTTCAGGCCGAGTAGAATCTGGACATCTGTCAATGTAAAGAGAACCTATCAATTCCTCCTGGACAAAGTAAGTGGTTTAACATAGAACCACAGGGTTTCAGAACAGAAAATATTGTGGCCCTGTTGTTCCTTTTATAGACAGGGAAGAAAGACCCAGAGAGGTGAAGCCACTTGCCCAAGGGCTCACAGCCAGAAGCAGAGCTGAACCAGACTTCAGTTCTCTTGACCCAGAGATCAAAATACTTTTCACTAGACTGGGGAAAGAACAATTCTTGAAATCAATGAGGGACAAATGCTAAGAAAGTGTCTCCTCATCAGCATCAATTCAAATATTTGATTTTTTCAGAATGAACATATCTGATACATTTTTTGAAAAGTGTTTTATTCAGGGTAGTATACCAAATCAGTGATATCCTACAAAAGGAAGTGGAAAATACAAGGCAATATATGGATATGTTGGGAAACAAAAATCATTGAAGATCAGTTAGCTATACTATACATTTTTGAAAATTAACAGAAATTTAGAATATTCAAATAATTGGCAAGTGTCTCTTTAGAACATGCTGATTGATGAGTCGGAGTAAGCAAAATATGACAGATTGCAAATAACGAATATACTAACTGGCAGTAACAAGAGAAATACTTCAACTGTGTTATTTTGCTGATCATTAATGCTCTAACTTGGGAGGAAACTAATATAAATAGTCAACGGATTCAAAATCACTTGAAAGAACTAAAGTCTCAGAAAACGGCAATCAGGTTTTTGTTTTCTTGCTTGCTTGCTTGTTTTTATGAATACAGAGAGCTAAAAACTACATGTATTATCTTCTAAAACAGCGATATGCTAAGAAGAAAAACAGGAAAGTACTCACAACGTATAGTATTTGCATTTCAAATTGTATCCGATAAGTTTCTTACAAAGCACAGAAATGCACTGTGTATAAAGCTTAACAGCATGAGCTCTGGCACTAGATGGTTAGTGCTGAGTTAAGTGCTTTGGCTACAGTCCTTCATTCGTTCCTAAAGATAACAGTGAGAGGCATTATAATCTTCATTTTCAGATGATAAACTGAGACACTGAAACAATAAGTAATGGACCCAAAGCCACATGGGGACAGAGCACTTGAAAAAAATTATGATAGAAAAAACACCAGTCTAGCAAGTCCAAATAGACAATAGAGCTTCCCGTAGGAGAGAACAGACAATGGAGGAGATAAAGTTAACAAGGAAATAATGGATTAAAAAACACAGAGCTGACCGAGGGATGACAATTCAAAGGAAAATCCATCAATTGTACACAAAATGACCAACGTGCAAACACAGAGACTGTCCAAATTTCAAACACCAAGAAAAAGTAAGAGAAGAGATAATAATGGTTGAGGGAGAAGAGAAAGAAAAATAGATCATCTAAGAAGGGAGAAGAATCTAACTGACAACAGACCTCACCAATTTACATAATTACAAAAATGAAAACATTTTCTTAGTTTTTAAACTTTAGACACAATACATAAGCAAAACATCGAAGACAGAATTTAGCTGTGGAACGGAACATACATGATGTCACTCCTGCCACCATAAGGTGAAAATGCAGTAGGCAAAAGATGAGAGATGGAAGGGGAAGGAGACAGAGTAGACGTTTAGATGTCTTCATCCAACAAAGAAGTGGGCAGAAAGACAATCTAAATATAAATGAAATCAGAAATAAAGTTCTAAGAACATGAATCAAAAGTACTAATGTCACAAACCAACAGAACACCAACAACATGGGGGGAGTAGGGAGAGATGTTACCGTAAGTGGGCTAAGGTTCATTGCTTTCATGAGAGGGAATCAAAGGATAGACATTTTAAATTGATAAATGAAGAGATATATGAATGGTATGTGAAACATACATCATTCACAGTTAGGAAGCAAATATCAGAAAGGGAGGAGGGGTAAGAATATACACTTGTGTTTGCTTGTATTAACATAAAGACACAATGGACGTAGATAAGAAACTAATCGAGTGGTTGCCAGTGGCAGGACAGGAGGCCGAGAAGCGGTGGATGGGCACAGGGGTGGCCATAAGGCTTCTCACTGTTATATACTATACATCTCCTCGTATATTGTTATAATATGGGAACCATGTGAAGGCTTACCCAGTCAAAATAAAGAGAGAGAGAGAAAAAAATCACATCAACTGTTAAAACGTGTTTGTTTGGAGACGTAGGATACTAATTGGAGTAGGAGATGGTTGGGGACCTGGTGCTTTTCATCATCAGTCCCTTATTTTACTTCTACTATGTATTATTTTACTTCTACTATGGAGCATATAATACTTTGATAAAAATAAAGTGGAAAATTTATATATTCACAGAAAAAGAACTGCTCAATACATTAATTATTAGCGGTATTATTATTAACTTCCTTAATACACTATCAAAGAACTGTCTATCAAAGAGATCAATTCAGTGAACATAACAGTAGAAAGAAAGAAGCGTGTCTTTATGAGGATTTGGTGTTATTTAAACAAGCTACTCTGGGAAGGAAAATTTATGTCACATTGCACTAGACATAGCAAAACACACTAAAATCATTCCCAAGTCCTTAACTGTGCTGCTGTTTATTCTAACTCCTCTCCAATTTCTCCTGGTATAGGGTTGGAAATGAAAGTACAGCTTGAGTAACATCAACTTCCCATGTCCTCAATAGAGCTGGGGGGCCTACACTGACCCAGCCAATTCTCACTCACTCATGAATTCACAAAATAGCTTAGAAATATGCATGGCATTGCCTTCAGGCTTTCTGAAGAGGGTGGCTTGTATTGTAGAGACCTTGTTCCCTTCAGTTAGGAAGAGGCATTAACCATTTTTAGGGAACTGATACTGTGTACTTTATTTACCCTTTTTTGTCATCACTCACAATAAATACTCACTGGGCATAATGTCAGGTTTCCATAATACGGCCCCTTTCTCTTTCTATGTTCTTCCTTTAAGTCCATGAGAGAGAAACAATATCACGTCCTCAATGGTAAAGGTCAAATTCAGGTTATGTTGCTTTTATAGAGGCCATGACCTGAGGGTTCTCCTGGAATGTGATTTCTGGTCTCATAGGAGCCAAATATTTTCCTGTCAGTGAAACTGTCTTTTTTGTTCATTTCTTATGCCAAGAAGTTGACCTTTTTCTCAGGGGTTCAACTTCCTCTTCCTTTCTATTTACATGTTGTCTACCCTCTCAAGGATTATCACATTTCCAATTTTCATAAATTTCCTCTTAGTCTTCAAAAATATTCTCTTTGACCATTAGGAACTTATGTGCCCTCCATTTCTAAAAGCTGTAAGATTTTTTTTTTTCTGTATTGTTGTATTGTCATTGATCAAAAAAAGGCTTTTGACATCTTTTGTGCTGCTGTTTTGTTGCGTGTGTGCGGGTGGGTGGGTGGGTAGGTGCAAATGTGCACACACATGCATGCAGGATACATACACTAATTTCGAAAGACTTGATGGTGGAATTCCATCTTACATCATATCTTAAAAGTGCCATATTTTAGCTCAGTGTAAATATTTAGTAACCGTAAGTGAATGATTGAATAGTATTCTATGCTATTGGAGCCTGAGGATAAATAAATCCCTGGGGATATTAGACTAATTTATCCAGCCATTTCCAAAACAAAATTGAAGTCTTAAAACCCAGGGAAACATAGGGATACACTTTTTAGTTAGTATATAAAGTATGTCATAATTTATACTTTCTCATTTCCTGTAACACTCTGATCCTAGATTGGCAGTGCTCTTGATAAAAGGGTGAATGTACTTCATTTCAACGAATGTATTTTCCTGGACTTGCACTGGGATGTTCTCTAACAATTGTCTTTTTGTCACCTTGTAGCCTCGGGTCCCTTATAAGCACTATGCTGAAATGCATCAAATTAAGTTACAAAGACCTGCCTTTCTTCAGTTATGCCTCCATCATTGAGATGCAGACACACAGTGCTCCATCTCCTTGAACAGCCCTGTGACCCAGGAACTGATGCACTGTCTCACTCAGCTACCCAGGGCAAACCTGCTAACTTTTTAAACAGTAAATGTTTAAATGGAGCTCCGTATTACTATATTGCACAAAATACCAGATGTTTTCACATTAAAGGCAGAAAGGGCCTTATCAGGACTTTTGGAAGGCTTTGAGTTGTGTGTTTTTAATCTTTTTTATTATTTTTTGTACACTGCAACTGAAAAAAAAAAAGCACTGAATAGTCAAACAAAACCCCCGAATATCCCAATAAGCTCTCACTTCTGTTTCAGTTGTGTCCTAGCTAGTTCTCATTTTCTGATATGATCAGTTCTATTACTCGCACAATGGTAACATTCTCACCTATACAATTACATGCAACCAAAATACCAACCCAGGGAAGCAAGAACTTGCAAGGAACTCTGTGGCTCCCAGTGCAGCGGGTTTAGAGATAAAACACATTATGTTAGCCCATCCGTTCCATGGAAACATACTTCCTTCTCTCTACTTTGAAGGCACCTCTTCCTTTAAGATATTTTCTTCTTCTTTCTTATTTCTATCCCCCTATCCCCACCCCAGGGATTTCACAAGTGGCAGGGGATCTTTTTCCACTGCAGTAGCTTTCACAGGACAAAGAACAAAAATACATATTTTTTGAAAGGGCAGAGTAAAGGATACTTTCCACTGCTGATAATCTCACTATCTCCCTATGTGCCTCACTGGACACTAGGTATTAATTTCTTAGCTCAATTAATCTCATTAACCTCAAGAATTTTAATTAACTTTACTAAAGGCAGAGTAAGCTCCTCATATTTAGCAGGATTGTTTGGAGACAGACAGTAAGAACGAAAACTATGTTGTTAAGTCTCCAACCTCATTAACAGTGCAAAAAGTAATTAACGATGTCTTTATATATGTGTGTGTTAGGGGAAACATCTGCGCAAGTTGTTTTCTGCAGTGGTAAACCGAGCAAAACTGGAGGTTATTCATTGTAACAGTAACATTTTAGTCTCATGTAAATTTTCAAACAAATGCATATTTGTGAATAATGCTTCAAACTATAAACTTTTAGTCTTAGGATTTTTTTGGTCACAAAATATTAAGTTAACATCTGAGTAAGCTGATGTGCTCAGACTTTTATTAAAAAACTGTCATTCAAAGTAATTATGAGCTTAGAAGAGGAAATAGAGGGCTATTTGTACATATAATCCAACTTTTCATGTCCAAATAGCCCTTTAAAATGTGATGACAACTTATTCAGTAGGTGTCAGTCTCAATTCTAATGCCCCTTTGCTAAGACACAAACAAATTGCATTCATATCAAGTGGATTTTTCCTGTTGCGGATCACTGCTGAAAAGTTTTGTGGATAGGAGATCAGACTTCAGGCATGCTAAATTTTCTCATTACTACAAGGAATAACAGTTTGCTGCATTTTATGTAGGGTTTACTACTATACCTAAGGCATATTTATTTTTATTTGTATATTCAAGCTAGTATTTCATGCATCATTTTTAAGCAGTTGAAAATTTACATCATAAAAATAAACATTATCAAGGCTGCAATCCTTCTGAAGATAAAAGGAGTTCCATGTCTGCATAATAACTTTATTGCCCTTTTAGGATTTTACTGTAACTCTATGAGTTGGATTATCACCTGAACCAGGTGATATGCAAACATTATCATCTGTGTTTGGCTATAACTTCCATTATTTCATTCAGTCCACATGGTGCTATGGATACTAGGCAAGTTGAAAAACACAAGTGACATAGTTGATATTCCAAAAAATACCACAAGCAAAGTACAATTGGAAGCTAAACCAGAAATAACATTTATGAGTTAGTAACAGCAGAAGGTCATATGCATGATGTATTCATTATTCCTCATGGCTGTCCCCTTTGCCAAAATTCATCAGGGTAGATAAAATATGTTTTCTTTATCAAAAGATAAAAAAACATCAGGTTCATTCAATCTTCTGCAGTTCATATCCAAACCTTGTCAAACCCTGTCACTTTCCTGCACACAGGTCTAGTTCATCCACGAATTCTAATAATATTTACGAAACACTAACGATATGCCAGACACTGTCCTAAAGTCTGGAGTTTCATCGATGGAGAACGTCCAACGCCAGCCCTCTGGAAGCCACATTCAGGTGGAGAGGAAGATGAGGTCTTCCTAGCCGTGTTTTACTTCAAGTCATAGTTATCTTCGCTTGCATTTGCAAAACCATTGGCACATCACATGCTCCAACACCAGTAACATCTGGCCAGGCTGCACTATTTCTGCCCTCAGCAGTTCATTTCCCCTAACCGAGCTTCCATGATGTTCCTTACACACAGCTAAAGTGGTTTCCTTGGCAGTATGGATAAGGCCCAGAGCCTGTCTTCATGGTGCCCCAAGATGAAAGTAATCAGATGTTTGAGTTGCCCATGACAGCAACACAAATTGGACTGAACTAGGCAGAAGAATAGATGTATTTGCCTGTGTTTCCAGGAAGGGCAGGTGTGTACCTAAGGGAGATAGGACCAGCGTTTGATGCTGCCAGGATTTGTTCTGCTTCAGTTTCTACTTCTTTCTAAGCATCAGTTTTACTCTCTTCTCCTGTTTTTTCCACCACAGCTGACCACAGCTGTGGCAACTCTCAATTCATATACTTAGAGCATCACGAACAGAAAAAAGAGTGTTTCATTTTCCCAACTTGAAATTCCTGGGGAAGAGCTCTAAGTTTCCTAGTGTCTTGACACTAGACAAAAGATTGCACCAGCCCATCTTGCTGACCCACCACCTCTGTGACTGGGGTGGGGTCTTTTACCACAAGAAGGGGACTAGTTTAAAGATGGCCACTGGGAAATCTCTATGGATAAGATAGTCACCCAGTCTCCATACATTGCATAGATCCCTTACATTTTCTTCTCCACTAGCCTGCCTACACAGACGCAAGGAACAGTTATGTCTCCTCATTTGGTCTAGAGATGAAATTCCCACAGCTGAGTTCTCTAGTCAATTACTCTTTTTCCTCCATAATTTGCAATTGTTCTTGACTCTTTTGTATATCTACATCCAGTTCCCATGTCTAAATTCTCCTACTGTTTTTTTTTTTTTCAATTTATATCTCCAAGTGCAGAGTATAACATGCATTAGATTGTAACTTACTTGAAGGCATGAAATAGTCTATTCAAAATGGCTGTACAGATTTATTGCTCACTCTAGAAAAGATCACTAGAACCTAAAGAAGAGTGTAACATAACCCTATCCTGTCAAAGTGTAGAATCTACCTTCATGTTGACTTAGCCTGTATACGATCGAAAAAGAGCCCAAAATACTAAGATCAGCTCTAGAAAGTGTGTTTGATTACTCAAACTGATTCAATATTTGCAGGCATTATTTACTTTTATCCACTAACTAATGCACATATTATAACTTTACTAATGATCCATATTGGAGTTATGTTTACCTCTATTTAAGGCAAATTTTTTATTCTTTAAGAGTCAAACAAAACAAAAAAACTTTTACTCTAGCACAAACTGAGTCATATTCAGTGCTTGCTAAATGCTTTTGACCAAAAGCACTCGGCTATGCAATAATCATGTGAACTTTCTATAAATTATTGATAATACCTTTTGGTCATCACTTGTCCCACATGACTCTTGACACAGAAGACCCTCCGTGTCTGAATGCCCACACCACAGGTAGCTTCTCCATTCCAGCCAATGGTTTCATTAATGGCAGTTACCAATGTGTCTGCAGAACAGGGGCTCCAAGGTGATGTCTCCCAGTAGAGCTGCATACAGGAATGGTCATTGCATGAACGATATTCTTGGAGGGCCTGACTAGGGGGGCATGGCTTTCCACCTGCAAAAAATCAAAATCAGAAAGAAGGCATTGTTGTTGCTGTTGTTATTATGATGTTGCTGTTTTTGCTACTGCCATTCTTATTTTTGTTGTTTTTGCTGTTTTAATGGTCTACAAAGATGGCCTTTTGGACACAAGATTCAAAAGGCCTGAGCCACTGCACCCTTTTTTCCACTCTAAGGCCATGGTTCTTCTGTTCTGAGTAACAACCTGAGACAATATATTGTACTCCTCTCTCCTAAATAATGAGCAGCAGTATACATAAATTAGACTAAAAATTGATTGATTCTACTGCACACCTCTTGGGGCATGTATCTCTGAGATAAAGTCCAAGGAAATCTCCTTTCATTTGAATATTACTCTGCTTACATAACTTAGTCAGACACGATAGCCCATGACCTTAAAGTGATATTAGGTCAAACACACATATACACACAAATTACCTAACCTATATTTGGTCTCTCCTTCCTAAGAAAGCATTATTTTTCCCAGAGAACCATTTTAAGACAACTGTCCTCCATCAAACAGTGCATTTTACTGCAATTAGAGAAATGCAGAGGTATCTCTTAAAGTTTGGCAGGAGAGAGCCAGTCCTTAAACTCTGAAATAACATCGGACAAGGTGCTATCCACTAGCAAGGAGACCATACAGATGTGCATCCTTATGGTATTGGGTGAGTCAGACAATCAAATTTCATTACTGTCTTTTCTTTCACATTTTTATATCCACGTAAAAACAGGTATTTATCTAAAGTATTGATTTTTTCCTACTCTTCCACACTATAATGTTTTATTCAGTGGGCCAAATGCTCAAGGAGATTTGTGACCTTGGTCTTGTTATTCTTGCTATTTTTTCCCCATTAAATATCACTGGCTTTTTTCTCCTTCCAGAAATATAAAAGACAAGAGGGGGACGCAACAGCACTTTAAGAATATGAAAAGCTGCGTTCATCTTGACCCTGACCCCATTTCTCAGGATCACAGAACAGAATCTTGTTTAAAAAGGAGTTCCTCACAGCCAGTGGCCACACCACCCCGCTGTTCTAAAAAAGCCATAGGCAGACGAAGCCAAGAGAGGTCCTGAAAGAAATGCCGCCTGTGTCTGGGGACATAGACCATTGCTATCAATGATAGGAACAGTTGCTCCTCTAATTTGTTCTGATGTCACCCTTTTACATTCCCATAGCACATTTTAGCTTCTTCAAAGTCATTTTCACAGCCTTCATCTTTTTCCCTCTCACAATATGCCAGCAGGATAGAACAAGAAATCAGGGCACACGGATCAGGTAGCTTGTTGATGTTAGTGGCAGTTACCAGTCAAGAAGCCACGTCTCTTGATTCCTAATTTGGAACTCTTTTTACCAAACTTATTCCAATTATGATCCCAACTGGATGAGCTATCTGAAGCTGGATGTGTGTCAACCAAACTTTGTCTTCTTCCCTAAAAAAGTATAATAAAAAATAACATCCATCTGATTCTCATGGCCTGTACATAGGTACGAGTTAAAACAATTCATGTAAATATGGGAACCCAGCATAGATGACCTAGAGGATTAAAGAGAAAAGGTATGCATGGAAACAAAACTATTAATTTGGACTCAGGGAATAGAAATATCACCTATGCATGGCTGCTTCCACAATATGAACTCCTCAATTACTTACCGGAAAAAAATAATAATTGGGCAATTCACTCCATTCTTGAAACTTTTACTATTACTTACCTTCTCCAGCCAATGCCAGGATAGTTCTCCACCTGGTCTGTTTCCCATCTGAGTTTTTATTTGAACAAGAGTGGGAGCAGGACGACCACTCTGTCCACTCACTCAGCACACAATCCATTCGGCAGGGAATTTCGCAAGCCATCTGTTCAGGAGGAGGAGATGCTGAGCAGAGACTCCCTGATACATCTTCTCCTGTAATCAACCAGATCAGGACAGATGCTAATTGATGCACAATCAAGGCCAGTCCAAGAAACATTTAGGTTATTACTTCCTCTGTTACTTCAGTTTAACTTAGAAGACTTCCCCTGGTGTCTAAACCAATAGAGTGCAAAAAATGATGGCTTCTTCAGCCGTTCATGATATTTATGTCAAGAAAAACTGCCAGGAGATCATTTGGCGTTTAGAAAGGTAGATACCACAGCAAAACTCCCATTTGTCATCCTTCACAGGGACAAAGTGGGCTTCTTCCGGGAAAAATTTAGCCATGGATGGCTGGAGATAGACATGATTGACGTGCTATTGACAACCATATGTAACAAGTATATGTTCTTCTGCAAAATGAGGGCCAGAGGTAGTCTATTGGCCTGCAAACCACAATTTATGTTGAGCATTCTATTCTACCCTATAAAGAATTTTATCATTCTAATTTTCTATTGAGTGCTTTCACCTCTAGGTATGTAACCTTAAGCAAGATTATCACACGATGATTCTTTTGTTCTGTTTGTGCATAGTGGTGAGTAACCCCAAACTACAATGGAAATGGACCTGTGGCCAAAAGTATATAATCTTGAGACAAAAGTTGAAAGCTAGTCCAAAATTTCCCTACTTCATTTACTATTCCCCCTTTGAATGATCTGATGAATTACTCAAACCAAAACATAAAAAATATATACATATATATAATGGGGGATGGTGTTTTACAATTAACAGATGTTAAGACTAAAGGGATCATTTTTAAGGTACTTTTCCATATCTGAAATGATTACAATGATTTTTTTAAAACTCTCTTTTAGCTTATTTATTCACTATCCTTAGAATTCAAATATTGCTTTTTATAGATAATAGTTCAACTCTTACTACTCTGACCATTTTCAGTCACCTCATGAAAACAGAAGATATGAAGAATGGTAATATCATTTATAGTTTGAAGTAACAGCATGAAATGTGGAATAGCAACTAGAGGAGAGAGGCAGTTCTGTTTGTGTGACTTTAAGCCTGTGGAATCCACTTGTCATAATCTGTCTGACACAAAAAATAACTGCAAAGGGGACTAATATTTATGGCACATCTCCTTCGTGCCAGGCATTGTCCTCATAAGAAGCTCTGGAGGTAAGTGTGACCCATCTCATTTTATAGCTGAGGAATCAGTGGCTCCAGAAGGAAAACTTTCTCAGGGTCACACAGGCCTTAGTTGAGAATCAAATTAAAACTTTCTGACTCCAAAATTTCTGCTTTTCCCATTAACCGTGCTGTGTCTAATTCCAAGGAAATGGATATTCCTTTTCTGAGGAAGTAAATAAAACAAGCTGACAGTGAGCAAGACTGCCTGGAGAAGATAGTGCACTGCTAATATCTGCATTCATATTTGTAAATGAGTCCCGGCCCATTGCGCTTGAGGAACAAATAAAACTTTCCAAGCATTATGAGGAGTAACAGAGATTCCAGCAGTTAATCATGCTGAAAGACCAGTTCTAATCATTCTCTTTTCAGTCTCAATCTATTTTCAGGTGAGTCCACACTGTATGGTACACACACACACACACATGCACACAGATACACACACTCTCTCTCACACACATACACCAATACAGCTAAAGGATAATGCTTGCCAAAGTACAGAAGCAGGCAAGCCAAACAAAATGCTCCACCTACAGTTAATCAAATTCAACTTCCACATTTGTGAATAATATTAGCATAATTTGTATGCAAAACACTTTAAAGCAGTGTGTTGCAAAGGACATTTTGAGGAATAAGATATTAGTAGGGCTCATTAAAAAAAAAAGTCGGAGGAAAGCTGAGAACTACTGGGGTAAAACAGTAAAATTGGAAGAACTTCGCAGAGTGTTGAAAATGCCAATGTACAGTGCAAATTTCCTAGGGTGGAAAAGGTATGTAGTGTTTTCCAGCTTTATTTGACCAATAACCATCTTCTTTGAGGACAATCTCTCCTAGAAATGATATTTTTATGAATACATTTTTAGAAAACCCTGCCTTCAAGAGTTATAAAATCAACAACTATGTGATAAGCCCATACCATGTCCAAGGCTTGTGATGGGATAAAAAAGGTGAAGATGCTATTATTTACCCTCTAAAGCTTGTGATCAATAACAGTGATGAGCTATAAACATACAAAAATAAAACTTAGTCCAAAAGTAAATACCAAGTTGCAAATGTGTGTTTCAAACAGAAAACACGTAGTGGTTCCGGAAAGAGAAGAATTTCTAGGGGACTAGCATACAGTGGAAGGCTTTCAACAAGGAGAAAGAGAAAGGTTAAGAATTGGTGGCAATGGGGGAGGGGGTATTTCAGGCAGTGGAAGTGTCAACAAATGTATAGTGGCGACACCTGAAGTTTATATAACATTCTAAACCTCAATTTAAAAAAAAGCATAGTGGTAGGAAAATACAAGGAATTTGGAAGACAGTTAACACTGAAGCTACATGAGAAGAAGAGAGTCCGCGTTGGAAGAGTTACTTGACATTAAATTCTGAATGACTCAGACTGACACACAAGTTTTGTTATATTTCTGCCTTCCTTAAATTCCCAGTTGCTCAGGTTTCCCATGCCCCGAATTTAACATCCTCCCTAGTCATCCTTTAGCACGCTTGGTATTCACTTTGGGTGCTTGAATTCTTTTTAAAACTTAAGCTTTCATATAAACTGATATACCCATTTCCTCAGTGCAGTTAAGTGTCAATATGCCAACATTTGGATAGCTTATCTATACACGCTAATTCAGAAATGTGAGCAAACAGATGAGACTTTTCTTTAGGGAAGCCAAACTAATAGTCATAAGCAGGCTCTGCAAATTGCATCTGAGCTCTTTCGGAAGAAATCTTGCAAAAGGAAAACTGCACAATGGGATCCTAGTCACAAGGTCTCCTAGCCTGACACAGTAGAGTGTCTGAAGGCAAATCCTAGTACAATTTATCCTTTTATCACTTAACTTCTTTGAACCTCAGTTAAATCATCGGCAATAATGAAATAATCACATTTATCTTTCAGGGATATTCTGAGGATTAGAAATCATTTATGCAACATATATAACAAGGTGTCTAACATATGGAAGACAATACATAGAAACCTTAAAAAATGCTTGCAAAGATATAGACCACAAAAGCTTAATGGCCTTCTTTATCTGAAAAATCTGAGTATTTATGTCATAGCCATGGAAAGCATTTGCTTTACCATTTATATATGTGTACAAATAACTACCAACAGCTTCACAGCCTGGTTCACGTAAAATATAAAAACTATTTATAATTATCCAGATCATTTTATTGATATGGTTGGCTAATCTAAACCACTTAAGAGGCAAAAATAAAGCACTTGAGCCTGAATAACCTCATCTTCCCATCTACATTGGTATAATTATCTTCCCATTGTATAGAGAGAACCCATTTCAAAAGATGATCATTTACACTTTCCCTGTTTTCATTTTCTTGGATGGATCAATGAGACCAACTGAAGTCTCAGGCAAGCATGGAAAATAAAGCAGCCCATGGCACAGAAACTTAGCCATTAAAAGTGATTTTCACGAGGGGAGGAATTCCAAGATGGCGCCGTGAGTAGTCCTCTTTGTCTCTCGCCCTTCGAGTCTACAATTATTTGGACACTTATCGCTTGACAAAGGATATCCAGACAGCATCCCAGGACGTCTGAGACACCCACGCGACTATACATCGGAAGGCGGACGGACTTTCCTCCGGGAGGATGTGGAAATAGGTGAAAACTCTCCGACCCCGACGGGCAGCCTAGTACCCGCAAGCGGCTTTCTTCCAACGGACGCCCCCAGAGGATCCACACACATCTAGGGCAGGAGCGAGAACACAACAGAGGAGCGACGGTGGAAACAGGTGACCAGAACCCTACTTAAACCCCCCGCAATTACTCCTAAACGCAGAGGGAAACTTTGGAGTTGCACACCTGAGCCCGCGGGGAGAGTCTCTCCCCGCCATTGGCGGGGAGACCCGGCCTGGTGCTCGGGGCGCCCGGAGGGTCCCAGAGAGAGACCCGGAGGGCGGGGCGTCCCCCAGCTGCCGTTGCCCGCCCCGTGGGACTAGGGATTGCCGGAGATCTCAGAGAGGACCGGGGCGGGGGAACTTTCAAAGGCGGGTCCGGCGACCCGGAGGGGAAGCGCCGGAGCTCCGCCAGGCAGCAGACAAAACTCTCTGTCTGCCGGTAGCAGAGGGGCCACGCTGAGCATTCAGAGCTCCCGGCAGAGGCCGGGAGAGAAGCCCAGAGGGCGGGGCGACCCCCAGCTGCCGTTGCCCACCCGGTGAGGCTAGGGATTGCCGGAGATCTCGGAGAGGACTGGGGCTGGAGAGAGTTCCAGAGACCCAGCTTAGTAGCCTAGGGGGAAACCCTACAGGCTCACAGAAGCCTTAGGGAAAGCCTCTGCACAGCACCAGTATAAGGCACCCAGCCGCCAGCCACAAGGCTGGAAGACCCCAGGGCAAAAGCAGCATAGCTAGGTGTACTAACCACAGACTGTAGAAGATGCCAATAGCTCTCCTGCGACACATAGAAGACAAGTGAGATTTGGTGGGTGCCGACAGCAACCGAGCGACAAATAAAAGTGATCCCACCCCTGGCCGCTGGAAAAGCCCATAACACCGTTGCAGACCCCAAGGAGAGAGCGCATCTAGGTGGGCAACAACAGTAGGCACCTGCAGCCTGAAGCCCCCCGTGACGGCCCCCACGGCAGAGGAGGGAATCCAAAGGGCCACTGTGGCTACGAAGAGGGGCCCAGGCCCAGTTAGCAACTACGGACAGGGTTCCTGGTTGGTGAAGTTTAAACAGCTGCTCCCCCCACCACAGCAGCTGAAACAAGTGAAAGGAGCAACTAAACTCTATCTCCATGCGGAGGCACAAATCAACATCATCAAGCAATATGAAAAAATACATTAAATCTCCAGAACAGAAAGAAAGTAACAAATACACAGAAAACAATCCCAAAGAAAATGAGATAT